CTACAGAGTCAACAACACACACACACACACACACACACACACACACACACACACACACACACACACACACACACACACACACGCGCGAATGTGGCCCACTGAGACGTGAAGTATGCATGTCTGGTATGCATGCTATGCTTCCACTAACACAGGTGCGAACACGGATGGATCCTGGCAGAAGAAAGGGAAGGAACTTCTTAAGAAACAGGTGCTGACCAAAACAAATATGGCCATAAACGTTGCTCTGATTCAGAGCACAGTGATTTATTATATTACACAAAGGGGATGCGTATGGCCAGATTGCAGTGTAATAAGTCACCCTAAAGATTACCAGTCTACATCAGCCAAGTTAATGGTAAGTAAAACGTTGAAAGAGGCATTTATGAAGCTGGGAATTAAAAAAAAAAAAATCCAAGGCAATGAGTAAACAGATTTGAAAGATTTTCCAGAAAACACGTGTCAAGTTGAAAGCAGAACATTAAGATATTATCAGGAAAATGGTGATTGTGTGAAATTGATCAGAGATTAATGATGTCTAAAAGAACCGGAAAATGGTTGCACTACATTGTTGCTGAGTCTCAACTACAGTCTGTCATTTAAAGAAAACAACATTACAGCAACTGCAGTAAGTCACACTAGGCAACACAAAGCACTAAAGCCCTGTTCACAACTCTTAAATGGTCATTTCGTATTTGTAGCTAACTTAGTCGTTTTGATAGTAGGCTAATATAGCGAATATAGATACATATATAGGCATATTTGTTTTTTGTCTTTTTTTTTTTTTTTTTTGTCGAATATGCCTCTTTCAACATTTTGGGTTGCCGAACCCTGGCACAGACTATAAAATTCGGAGGAAAACAATTTGCACAATTTGCTTTGCGAAATAGTCTTTTGGCAGCATTATCCAAAACTCAGATTACGTACGTACGACTGCACATAGGCTTTGCCCAATACGGAATGGTGTTTCCACGTGAATATCTATACAAATACAACAAAAATAGTACGGAGTGTATTGTAACCAGGTGGGCCTTACGCCTGATGGAGTGGCAAAGGGGGATCGATATTGTTTGCGCTGTTGATTTGACACTTCAAATCATTTGAGTCACTGTATTAGCAGTACTGTACTAGAAAGAAAAGTGGTATAGCTATGTATGTATTAGCAGATGCACACAAGGAGCACACCTGGAGCAGAGTGGCTTCTCCGTGCAGCAAAACAAAGTTAATACAACAGTTACATACTGACGGGTAGCACGGGGATGCCAAAATTAATTTGTGGCGGCTAGCCACGGGTAAATGCACATGTGGGAAACACTGCAACTGTAATGTCTTATTTCACAGAGCCCATCAATGACATCATTGGTTGGCTTGGTGGATTAAGACGTCGCGGCTAATCAAAAAAATTTGCATACAACGTAAAACATCATTCGATCCGACATAGTGTAGTGGGAACTGATCACGCTACCTGCACAGAAGTCAGGCGAATGTATCATTACACCATCACTGATCACTAACAATCAAACTGGTTAACAGCAAATTTCAATTACAGATGACTTTATATGTCACTAAACATATTTTTGAAGCTTATATAAACAAACAAAAAAAAAAACGTTTTTTCTCACACATCAGGTTGATTATAGCATTACAATGAGAACCTGATGTGCTACAGAAAAAAACAAAAACAAAACAAGGGCAGATTCAGAATCAGTTATGGTAATTCATCTCGAAAAGTTGACTTGCAACTGTAATTTTTTAAAAAGTGTCGTAAAAATGTGTTGATCAGTGCTATCAAACCATCAGCTATCAAAACTATACCTCTCAAAATATGCATGTAGCGTTCTAAAATAATTGGTGACATTTGAGGAAACTTTTGTCGTCAAAGTAGTGCAACGAGTGGCTCAAAAACATGTTGATTTAACCCAAAAGCAAACAGTCTCTAGACTGATGTGGTCTTCAGATTTTTTTTTTAGTCAAAGCAGCTCATAGTGTCTGCTTAACAGACAGACTCTCTGGTGTGGAGGGAACATTTAAACCGTGGTGAAAGAAAGCAGGATTCCCTTTTATGGCGATAGAAGCTCACCTTCCTGTGACCTCAGGTGCTTTCATCCGCTGAACAGCAAAAAGCTGCCTCTCAAGCTTCTAAAATATCACACGCCATACATAAATATCACATCAACTAGATGGAAACGGAATGCCAGTGTAGACCTACAGTGAGGTTGTGGGCTAAAAGCCAACAGAAGAAAACCACCAACAAAATAAAATACATTTCACGAGCACGCTGCCATGTCAGAGAGTCGCTATAATGCGTGTTTACATGAAATTCAGACATCTGGAAAGCATACATGGCGTCTCTCTC